CCTTTTTGGGAGGCACGAGGCTTTGGGGGAAGAGCGGGAAACTCTTGGTGATGCAGTTTGCGGCTTTTATTAGGCATGGATGGCTCAGCATGGTCATCTGGTTTCCATTTAACGCTACGAGTACCATTCGATTTCAAGGGCCAGGCGTCATGGGCCTGCTCCTCGTTGCAACTGGGCTCGCTTGCCCATGTTCCATTCCAGGTTTTCCACACTTCAGGCTCCCACCAACCTGTGTCAGGATCCTGCCAATTGTGCCATGAGGTTCTTTCGGGGGAACATTCTTCACATGACCAATCCCAGCTTTGATCCGTGTAGCCTGAAGCGTGAGGATTCTGCTCCTGCCAGGCCTCTTCTTGAGGTGCCATAGGAGCATTGTTCCAGTTTGCACTACTACTTTGCCTTTTGTCAAGGGCGGTAAGGACGGCTTCGACTATGACATTCAAAGAAGCTTTAGTGAGGCCAGTTCCCTGCAGTTTTCGCAGTCTGTTAGTGGTCCTTTTTCCATGGGGTCCAGGATGGCTTGCTTCCCCTACCCTAACTCCAGCAAAAGGATTATGACATAACTGGGAAACCCACCGAAGGAGAATCCAAGAAACGGTCCTGATGAGGCGCACAACTGCACTAAGAGCTGAAGCTGAGGTCGTGACAGTTTCTTCATTCTCATGCTCAAGCGAGCACGCAAGTGTAGCATCATGATGTTTGCCTTGTTGCTTCCACCAGATTCTTTTAAGTCGGTACTCCCAAGCCCGTATTCTACCAGTGAGTCTGGCACGTTTTCTCCTAGCGCGCCCAACTCTCCGGCAGGCAAGGATGTACCGACATGACCCTCGACTTTTTCCAGTGGGGTACGTTTTGGGGGCCTTTGGTTTTCTTCGTTTCTTTTTGGCCTGAGCCTTTGAGGGCTATAGCAGAGACAAAGAAGGAACCAAGGTTCGCGGCAGCACTTCGGACATCCACGTCCCCACCAAGGAGCTGGGGTCCATGGATTCTGGCGATTGTTTTTGTCGCAAGCTGGTTGTTTTTAAGAAAACAACTGCTTGGTTTTGCTTTCAGAGCGAGACTAATGGGCCAAGCCACAGGTTTGCTCTGGTTGTTCCACTTCCCATTGCCACCCTGCATGAAGTCCATGGACCATGGCATCGCACGAGTGCCATGAGGGGGACCGATGCTTAGGGGCAGCCCGTGAGGGCAGTGGTTTATTGCATCCAAGGCGCTTGCACAACTATACTGTTGGGGAAAACCCACAGCCGTATTACCAATTAAGAGGGCAACCCAAAAGGGGCGGAACACAGAAGACCTCAAACAACCCTGAGCCTTCTTGGTGCCTAGCACCATCTTTGCACGGTGACTGTCAGTAGACAGCTCTTTTTTCTTGCAGGTCTGCTTTTTAGCAGAATCTTGATTGGCATCTCTGGCCTTTTGATGTTCTTTTTTCATTTCTTGATCTCTTGATTCTCTTTTTTGAAGCCTTTTTTGAATTGGTTTTGGATTTTCAGCACAGCCACCTAATGGCTCACTAGAACTACTTCGCCTCACCCAGGAATCAAGGCTCCTTGGGTGACCCGTGCCTGCCAGGTCCCGCTGGACGTCGGGGGCGTAGTTGTAGGCACGCAAACACACACCAAAACCACCACAAAACACAACCCACCAAAACCCGCAACAACCCGCCAAAACCAAAGCACCAAACGTCAAAGTATCCCCCGCGCTCAGTACTTGAGGTCGTCGCAGAAGTCCAGGTGTAATCGAACAGCGCAGAGCATGCGGGAGGGTCGCAAAATGCGATGGTTTGCCGGATCATCAAAATCACCATCATGAAGCCACTGGCGCAACGAAGGTCGGCAAGGAAAGCTGTAAAACGAGTAAGGACAGCAGATTTACCGACCGACACGGTCAGCGCCAGACACACCGTAGCGAAAAGGGGAAGGCACCAATTGGCCAACTTTCCCAAAGGAGAGGCAATGCCTGCACGCGCCCCATGGTGGTTAGCCAGTGGGGACTTGTTGGCAAGAACAACTGATGCAAGACCAGCCCAGGGCACCTTAGCCAGTGGAGCGCCCCAAGCAACAGCCGAGTAGCAACAGCTACCGATTCAGCGGGGAGAGACTACCAGGCAGCAGTCAAACCCTTACGCCCACAGCACTTTATTGCCATGGACCCTTCCAATCAGGGTGTTGCGGACGATAAAGGCGTTTCATCACGCCTACTTGATTGGTTGGCCTGCGTGCTAACTTCCTCAACAGCAGTTGGCGGGTCAGCGGCGAAGGTAGTGCGGGGAAACAGGCTTGCGCCAACTTCTTCTCATCGACCCCCACGCTGGGATGCCAGTCGGAATGGGAACTCCTGCATGCCGTGCCATGTTGGCTTTGGCTGAATGCCACATCGTCCGAATGGCCTTGTTCTAGAACTTCGCATGTTTAGCCACCAGCATCCTATACATATGAAGACATCCGTCCCTTGCATCACTTAGAAATGGCATCACTTCTTTTGGCGGTCAGACGCATACCATCAGAAAACCGAACCTATTGAAAAAGCAATAGGTCACCGGAGGTATGCGTACGAACAAACAATCACCCCACATATCAAACAGCACAGCGAACCAACCATCGCATATCTCCCACAGAACTTCTATGTACAAAGCACAAGCCATACTCGACTTGCAGGCAATGTGAGTGGACCAATCACAGACAGGTACACAAGACCTTGCTGGCTGTCCTGTACATCAAGCATGCAAATGGTCCCACCGAGTAGATACAAACCAAAAAGGGTGGGATAGGGCGGGCAATCCAAAATGCGAATGTCTCAAGGACTTCACAGATCATGTCTCAAGTCTGAGCCGCTGGTGGCTAAACCATAGACAGCACGATAAGCATGTTGCAAAATGCTTCGTTCAAAACATTTTTGAGTAACACACAAAAACCGTTCTAGAACTTCGCATGTTTAGCCACCAGCATCCTATACATATGAAGACATCCGTCCCTTGCATCACTTAGAAATGGCATCACTTCTTTTGGCGGTCAGACGCATACCATCAGAAAACCGAACCTATTGAAAAAGCAATAGGTCACCGGAGGTATGCGTACGAACAAACAATCACCCAAACCGAAAGCTGCCAAAAGAAGGTGAGTGCCATTCTCGCCAGTCACATCTACCCAAAGCCAAGAAGTGAGAACAGTACTCACCCGCATGCGTCCCATATGTGCAGAAAAGCTCACTGCAACAGTAAAGCACCGACAGCTGTGTAAAAACAGGGAGCATCCCATGGGGGAAAGAACCGCGCACCATGGTTAGCCACCCCCGCTCCACAACCGCCGGCACTCGACATGGTGATTTACAGGAGGCATCCTCATGGGGGAAACAAAGTACCGCGCACCATGAGTAGCACAACCTGCCACACCTCTGCACACAAGCGCACAAAAAGTACGATGCTCATTGCGACAATTCGCGCCACTTATTAAGGGGCAGCTCCCAAAGCAAGCGGGCCTCAGGTGGGAAAAGGCGGATGTCATGGTTATATGCCCACAAAACAGGCAAAGCACAGGACACTCTGTAAGCTGGAAGCCATTCCTCAGGTAATGCAGACACGCCATCCCATCGGCTGAGGAAGTCAGCCTTGTCATTGTGACAACCAGAGATGTGGGACGTATCAAGCTCCACATGCGAACGCCACGCATGAATAGCCAATTGCTGCACAAAAGCAGCCAACGGCTGAACGGTTGTGAAGAGCTTTGTGCAAACAGCCTCAGTGCCTGTGTTATCAGACCAGCTGGGTATGCGAACCCGACATCTGCCACCGACACAGGATGTGGCAAATACATGGACAAGAGCTATCTGGGCCAAAGTTTCATAGCAAACAATATCCAGATTTGCAGGGGACTGCATGGAAATACCCCACTGCGAAAAATCGGACACTTCAAAACGCTCAGCGAACCATAAGCGTGGTTGACCGGGAAACTCAACCCAGCCACCAATGCCAACGTTCTGACCGCTAGCGCAAGCATCTGCGGCCAGCTTCACCGAGGGCTCGAATGGTGTCGCGTTCAACGGGCGCAAAATTTGCGGCTGCTCACACCAATCACGCCAGAAACTCAAAAAAGAGATACTCAACGAAGAGAGCTTGCGACGGTCAGTCGTTGGGTCAGCAACACGCGCCCACAACCGCTTGCCAGTGAATTGAACCTGTGTAAGATCGGCCTTGCACTTCACATCCACGTGACGAACACTAAGTAAGCGTGACCCTACACGAATACTCGTGCCAGGTGGTGTACGCGAAAAAATCATGTCTGAATCCAGACAGGTTGGCAGCTGCTGCCATGCAAATGCGCTGAAGGAAAAATTTGTCGCTAAAGGGCGTTCCATATCGTGGTACAGACTACACAACCACGGCCGCAAAGTAGGCGAAATTTGCACAACCCAATGCAAGAGCCCAATGATACGCTCCAAATCCTTGCGACACAACTTTGTTGCCTTCAGGACGAAATTTACCGCCTCCAGCAGTTTCTGCACCTTAGGAGCAGGTAAGCAAAAAGCTTCTGCGCGAAAATGCAATTCCCAGCCAATAAACTGGACCGTGGCCGCCAATTGAAGCTTTCGCCACGAAAGAGGAAAACCGAAGGTTTGGCAAAAACCAATCACTACCGCCGCCGACACCGGCAGCATCTGAGCGTCTTGATACAACAGGGCATCGTCCACATACATCATTAGGATGTGTGCCACCCAAATTAGGCGGTGAGAGCATCTTACGAAAAAAGCAGCAAGACGCTGCCACCAGTGTGCCGAAAATTTGGCTCCAAACGGAGCCACCCTATAGAGAAACAAACGTTTTCCTAATCTAACCCCCAACAACCCCCGTTCACTCTCCCGAACTCTCATAGTTTTATGTGCAGCGGATATGTCCAAAGTGCAAGCAGCCAGCTCTGCAGAAGAACCGCGAATGGGGACGCCACATTGCACATCATGAAGTCCGGGCAAGCAAAACTTCTCAGGAATGTGACACGCTGGATTCAATCCAGATACCGTGGGATCAATGATGAGCCGTGGGTCGCGTCCCAACGCATGCACAATGTTAGCCTTACCAATCGCAAGCTGAGGCCAGCGATCTTGCGCAGTTTGAAGGTCCGGCACCTCCTCCAAAAAACCGGCTTGCACTTCTTTTTCAAGCAACCTTTCCAACAGGGCAGGGTCATCCTCTGCACCCTTCCAATTGCCTGTACACAGCAGGAAATCATGCTCATCCAGTGCAGGGGCGGCAGATGATGCAACAGGAACGAAAACGCCACTCGCTGGTATATCGTGCCGAACACCGGTAGGCACCCCTGCAAGCAAGGCAGGCCACAAGGCCTCGTCCGGGTCGTGCATGACCTGGGCTAACTTCCGCAACGCGTGGAGTGCATATGGTTGGCCCTCAGGGACATCCCATGCCGGAGCCTCATGTCCTTGGGCTTTGAACCACCCATTCCAAATTTCCCGCAAGTCTGAAACCTCGGCCTCAGTGAAAAGCGGAGAAGTAGACGCCTCTTTGGTTTGTGCGCTCAGGCGGTTCGGAATTTTATTTTCCAGCATGAAGCGCTGAAGTTGCGGGCGCAACCCCGAAAACACGTCCTCCACGCCTGGTTGTGGCTCAGCCCAATCTGGAACAGAGTAAATCCCACCCCCATCTTGCGAGGCTCTAGGGAAAGATTTTAGGGGGCGTGTTGGTATGCAAGCAACGGCATCCGGAATGGATAACTGCACACCCTCAGCTGGTGCCGGAAACAAAGGCAGGACCTTCTCCGCATAGACTTCAGCCAGACGGGCCGGATATAAAGCAGTCTGCCGCGAAACATATGTGCCATCCGCATCGCGTTGGCCTAAAACCTTGTGATGAGCGTCTCGCCCATGGGGGCATACACATGCCAGGGCTTGAAGGGGCCGCCATGACGAAGCAAAGATCCAGTGCTTCAGATATGGCATGCCAAACATACAGGCAGCCACAACATTCACATCCGCAGAAACCTCCTGCAAGTAACGACGAACCACGGGCTCCAACCAACTCATGGCATTCCGCGGTTGCTCAAGTGATGTATGCCCCCCGGACTGGTAAACAGCCATGAGCAATTGGACCGTACGCGACAGTAAAGTAAAACTCGTCAGAACCTTTTCCTGCATGACCGGCGTGTTATCGGGCAACCCGTCCAAGAATTCAGGGCTACGCACAGGCGGAGGGCCATCCTTGTCCATCAACTTCAAACGGCTATACTCACCGCACGGTGGGGACCCATGGGCCATGGAACATTTCCCAGAAAAGCAAATTCTTAAAACTTTTTCATAAAAGGCATCTTGTAAAAGGTCATGCGACGCATCCAGCAGCACATCGATTGACAGAACAGGCACCCCATGCTCTTTCAATGCCTGGCTCAAGGGGGAAGCATACCCACTGCAGATGTCCAGAAAAAACCGAGGTGCAGCAGGTGTTGGAACGTGCACCGACTCAGACACGCGTGGGATCTCCACAGTTTGATGCGGAAAATTTAACCCTGCAAGAGCTGCCGGCGAAACCTCCGGCAACGTATAGGCTGTCAAAGCCCAGCGTTCACCCTGCCACGGCATGGTTGCATGCCATAAAGCACCATTGAATGCAAAGGGTGTCTCCTTGGTGCAAACCAACCGACCCGACAACTCTACACCCAATTCCCGAATGAAACAAGGCACATCCCCTGTCGGCTCTTCCAGCCACAACTGGCCGTCACGAAAATCTCCTAAGGCGACATTATAATTTAATGATCCAGGTAAGTTGGCAAGATCCCGGTGCGGCAAAGTTTGGACACACAAGGAGACACATACTGCGTTCCACGTGCCTGTAGGCCACCATTGCTTCAAGAAACCGTTAAGCGCCCTAACAACTTCAGGAAAATTACGCGTGACCGAAGTCACTGCACTCCGGTCTCGCACTTGCACGCCAAAATTCCAGTAGCCGGTTTGCTTGGAAGAAGCATCCGCCAGACATGGGCGAGTTGAGCGGCTGCCCCACTCCACCAAACCACTGGAGCGCAACAAGGCCAAGCATTCTGCAAAAGACGATGAACCCGGGCGGGGCTCCATCATGGTCACATCCACAGCACTTGCCTCCGCAGCAACACCAACTACAGGCCGCGGCGGGCCTTCACAGGGCGCCTCAACAGATTGACTGACAGACACCTTCTCAGGCACGCCACCTTGAGCCTGCAAAACAGTAGCGCTGCTGGATACCACACGCACAGTCTCACCCTGCCCTTGGCTACCTGCAAAGACAGCCAATGCATCGGACTGAAGCTGTTTCGCCTCTACTCCCTCAGACGGAACCTGCAAAACGGAGGTTGGAGCACGCCCTAACGAAAACACCTCACCACTTAAAGTAAGGTCCTTCACAGTTGATGGCTCGGCCTCAAGGTCGCCCACCGACGTTCCCAACCCCTCTTTCCATCAATGAGGAGTCGCCTTGTGATCCTTCGCCGAGTGTTCACCGAGGCACGGCTTGCCCGGCACAGCCATTACACCACACAAATGCTCAAACTTGCAATCTCGGCCCCGCTTGCAACGACCCCACTGATATTCCCGGCACAGGTTCTTACGTTCACCCCCTTTGCCGGAGTACCACTGAGCGAGGCGCAGACTGAGCCCCCCGGCGTTGACTTGATTGCGTTGACGATCTTCCGGCCCTTTCTTGCCTTTGCCGGCCCCCTTGAACGGACCACGCTCCCGCCCCTTGCCCCCACGAAGAACCTCATTGAAGAATTTCGGAAGAGCAGGCCGTGGCTGCAACAACTGTTGAACCTCTGAACGCACAACCACTACCTCATGAATGGCATTGTCCAAAGTCCACTGCTCGTGGTTATACAGGTGTGCAATGCCCTGCCAAAGTTTCTGATCTGCCTGCAACGCTTCCTGAGCAGACGGGGCCCGAAGGCCCGACTCGGACGGGAAACGCTCAAAGGCTTTAGACAAAAAACGTCTGTTATACTCCCTTAAAGTGTGCAGATGCGCAGCACCGCACATGGCCAGCGCCACTGCTTGGAGTTCTAAAAAGGATTGCATGGTGTGGCGGCCCATGCCTTGCGCACTGACATCCCTGCTCGGCACCTCGTCAAACACGATCTTCTCCAGCTCCAATCTGGCCATTTTCGCTGGCCTCTGCAGCAGTTGTTGCTCAAGCATGTCTTCCGACATACGGTATTTCCAGTGTATCCATTTCCAATGCTTGTCCTGAATTTGTTTGGCCGTGAGGGCCAGTAGGCGTTGTGAGGGCATCGTTTCGGGACAGATGATCTCTGAGGGATACCTGCTTTCGAAGCGTTGCACAAGGGATTTGACCAACTCAGGGCTTAGTTTCTTAGGGAAAGCCTCGACCCAACTAGCATCCGAAACGGGTGAAATGCCTGGTGCACTGCTGGCGGCCTTGGGCTTCGGGCCCTGCGACAACGCTTGGCATCTTTGCCACAGCAAACGCACACGTGCTGTAAGTAAAGGCTCGGAAATATCCCCGGGAAACGTCAGGCCTTGCAGAAAGGCATCTAAACCTTGCAAATCCACGGACACCAACGCGAACTCCTGTGGCGTGAAAGGCAGGAAATCTGGATGCATGGAGACCGGGATATTCACTTCCGCAAGCAACTGCGCCATCGTAGTCGTCCCCGTCGAAACCGGGGCCTCCGAGGACGGGCACAGCGGTGGAAAAGCTTCCCCCCCCCCCAAGTAGGAGGGTATCAGCTGAAAGTCGGCATCTTCCCCATCAGACAACCCAGCCATGGCAGAGACTACAAGTATGCAAGACTTATAAACATGCAAACCTGCAACCCATCAATACTCTAAGCAAGTACCGCGTTAGCACTGTAGATACGAATGGACATGTGAGAGTCACCTAAAATTTAGGTGACCCAGAACAAACAAGGATACGAGTAAGACCTGGTACAAAGAATTGTGGTTTTGTGGTTCATGACAGGCGCTTAGGGGAGCAATCGCAGCAACCTATCCTCGAACTCCGTAAGGAAAAGAAAGCAAGAACTGCATGAATGAAGGAAAAACCTTTCTAAGCACATGCGTTCGCTACAAGCAACTCATGGCATGCCACACGCATACACCAGCTCGCTTCACAAAGTGGCCAAACATGGCCCAACACTTGCGCGCTTGCACAAAGAGCACTCGTTTTTTCGGACACCCGGCAAGGAGTCCCATGCGACCTGCGATACTTCACAATTGGAAGCAGACCTGCAACAAAGCTTGGCGGGGGTTTGTCCCCAGTTGGTGGACCTGCAAGCCGTCCCCTTCCCCAACTCGTAGGCGAGTATCACAGGGGGGGTATGAGGCAAACACACGCGCATGGACCTGCAGTCTGCATAAATCGACCGACACAAGGCCTCTACACCGAACGACATGAAGCACAGCTCCTGCGACATGCTGTCCGCATGCAAAACCGTGCCCCTGGTTGGGGCTCCGTCACCAAAATGGGCTCAGCTAGCCACGCACCACATGCCAACTTCAGAGGTACGCCCTGCCACTGTGCAATGGAATCCGCAGACGCACGGACTGCGGTACGCAAAACTCCAGATGGACCTTTGAAGAAACAAAACTCCTCCGCTTCTAAGGGATGCGGCGACTCGGTATTGCGGGTGTCTTCAACCTCCACATCCGAATCAGACTCGTAAAAGACCTGCATATCCCCGGAAGAAGGGTGATGCTCTGCGGTAGACCCGGCCCCCGAATCATTGCCCGGAACCCCTGCTGGCTCTGGCAAGTCACACATAGGCAGTTCCTCAGCTTCTGCAGGCGGCACCATAGCAGCCCAGAACCAAGGATGCAAGCTAACAGGCTCCAAGACAACGGCCGGAAAACGCCACCGCTGGTTAGGAAGAGGCTTCTGGGCCCCCCGAGACATTGGCATCCCTGGAACCCATCCAGAACGGAAAGCAAGTATAAGAGCCTTTTGAACGCGCAGAGCACCATGAGTGTTATCACGCCCATACAATGACAAACTTTGTCCTTGATGATGCCCTTGATCTAACCGATCCTGTTCAGCAAAACCTCCGTGCTCAGCTGCCCAGGCCAACATACTGCACTTGCAGCTGTGTAATGTGTAAGCAACAGCGGACAAACAGGGTCCACCTGACTCGGAGAAAGCGGATGACAGGAAAAACCTGAGGAAACGCAAGGCCTGGTTGAAGGAGAGCGCTATGAACTCCCCATCTCGCCACGCAAAGAAAAGGGAATCAGGTATGACCTCTTCACCAAAACTCGCACGTAGCTCACCCCATACTTCAGCCAACAAAGAAACATAGATCCTTATCCATGACTTTTCAGGCCCAGGCAAAGCCCCAAGTAAACCCCATCCTCCGACGGCGAATGGAGTGCCGGAACGACACGTCTTTGTGCGGTAGCTCATTCCTCGCAGGAACAAACCATCGACGGTCACACTCGCCCAGCGTACATGTGATGCATCGCTAAAGCGAAGGCTAGCCATGAGGCATACAAGAAAGCTCCCAGCAAGGATCCTATGCTCACGAGGCGCTTGCAAATTTCGCAAGAGTTGCTCTAACCACAACAAGAAGAAGGGTGGAACAGGCACAGCTTCACGCCGCTGACGATCCCGGTTAGGGTCAAATACTTGAAATAACGAGGACCATGGATTCCAAGGCAATTGCAAAACCTTTACCAACCACCTCAGTGCCTTGACACTGTTGGATCCGTGCACGCGACAGGCAGGATCAGCCCGCAAACCATACAATGCATCCACAAGTACAACTTCGGTGACATCCCCCAACGAAGACACAGATTCCTGCAAGAAATCAAGGAGCAACAGGACAACTCGCAAATACCGCAGCGCAGTAGTGTCAGAGATGCGTGCCAGCAATGCTCTATGCAAGGCGTCCTTATGAGCCGAATGCTCGGCCGACATTAAGACCGGGCTGAGTGCAGACACAAGCAGAAGCACCTGGGACCACATCTTATATACAACCTCCCAATTGCGAGCATGCGAATGCTCCTTCGTAGCGAAAGATGCCACATCTGCAGACTCCGGTCTACGACTCTTAGCTGCAGGGCTCACAAAGGCATGGGGCGTAGGATGTGTCCTGTCTGAAACTTCAGCACTCACCAAAGCTTGCTGGCCTGCCAAAGATGATCCACTGGGGTGTACACTCGATGCATTTTCCTGAATGCCTACAGGCAGGTGCAGGGGAGGCGGAGTGCTACAGTAAATAGGGCGCGGAAAAGGAGCCTCAACAGTATCTCTGGCCCTAGATCCCGACCCGGAACAAAACACTGGACGTGCAAAAGCAAGAGCCGTGCGCTGTACCTTGGAAAGGTTTTTCTGCAATGGTGCATTTACTGGCATGGCTTGCACCGCATGCTTGGGTCCCGTTCTTGGCAAAACACGTCCCTGTACAATGCGTGGGAAAGGAGTCTGAGCTTTGGGATTTGCTTGCATCACTACACTCGAAAGGGGAGCTGTTTGCGACAAAGCAGGCGATGGTGCAGGAGTTAAATCACAAGGCAAAATCGGTGCAGGCTCAGCACTTGCGCTCCGGAAACGCTTGACCACTGTCACCCGCCGTGGCAAAAACTCTTCATGCGAAGATTCAGAATCCAGCCTTGCGCAACTCGCAAGCAGTGACCCATCCATCATTGGGGACTCCGGTGCAGCCTCACCAGGGGCCTCATTGTTGATTGCGAAGTCGTCTGAAGACATCCCGAAAACACGCACTCCAAAACAAAGATAAATTCTGCAGGTATTGATGAAGGCGTGTGATGTAAGATGTAGTTTCCTCAACAAAATCCTCAGTCTCGTCCAATCGAACCCGCAAAAGGTGCACCTGTGAAGCCAAATGCTCCAGTTGCGTCTCCAGCTGCTGACAACGTTGCACCAGTACTGTGAAGCGTTCTTCTTGCAAGATGACCCTGTCTTCCACCGAATCAAGTCGTTGCTCAATGGCACTCACAGTATCGCTAGGAGCAAGGTTACCGGACGATGACTCAGAAGACAGCGGCCTGTCCCCTGCAGGTGCACTCAAAACAGACGAAGTCCGGTCTGATTCTGAGTCTGACATGCACTAGCGCCCCCGGGCACGAGGCGTTCGATGTGTACTGCTGCTCAAAACAAAGCAGCACTCTCAGCACCACAAAAGCCAAAAGACACTGCAGCACTTGTCGCACCACTGAAACGAGGAAATCACCAGCGCAAGGGCCTTGCAGCAATGGCTCACTCAAAAGGGAAAAAGTCCCTAAAAAGTCGTAAGTGTTGTATGTCATTTCCAACAAGCATGACAACTATGACAGCTAATGCCACTTTAATCGTGAAATGCCACTAAATCATGCCAATCCAAAATGCGAATGTCTCAAGGACTTCACAGATCATGTCTCAAGTCTGAGCCGCTGCTGGCTAAACCATAGACAGCACGATAAGCATGTTGCAAAATGCTTCGTTCAAAACATTTTTGAGTAACACACAAAAACCCTGCACTTGCCAACACTGCACAGCACCGTCTTCTTGGAACTGGAGGGAAAGGTGGAGAGGGCAGTTGCAAGGGCCGAGGGCTTAGGCTCCGGGTTTGCCGTGGCAGTACATTTTACACCAAGGCGGCGTCTAAGGAAGGAAGATCAAAGACATTCTTGTGCAAGTTCTTTAAGTACTCCGGCAAAGCATAGTTATCACTGCGATAGTAATTGATCACAACTTGGTGTAGAGCCAAGATTCTGGTTTCTTGTCGCTTCAGAATTTGCGTTTTTTTCTTCACACTTTTTCTGCAACCTACAGAACATCTCCACCAAACTACCTAAACCCTTAACCCTTAGTCATCAACTTCAACGCAGTGGGATTGTTTCTGGGAGATTTGGGGCTTCTACCCAAAACCCTGAGGCCTCTAAAGCACGCACTTCTGGTGATTAACAAGTTCAGAATGGAGCGTCTGATTTGTTTGTTATTCAGTTAATTTGTGCTGTTCCCTCTTTTACCAGGCGGGGCTTTGTGGCTTGTGTTTGACAAGGGTTCAAAGGTACCTAAGCTTGGGGAAAGTGCCTTAAAATCCTAATGTGTTTGAACACTTGTAAGAGAAACCAGGCTGGACCGCTTCTTGTTCCATAATGTCAATTCTCAACCGTTGCCAAAGCCTTACGCCAAGACTTCGTAAGCATAGTGCTGCCCAAAGGCAGGTTTTTCTTGACAAGCACATCTTTGCTGTGGGCTTCAGAGCTTAAAACGCGTCTGCTAGAGTTGAACCCAAGATCTGACTTGCCAAAACCAAAGCTCCAAAACGTTGAATGGGCCGGCAGAAAGCGCACCTGCATACATTGTGGTTTAGGTTGGAGTTTTGAGTGCCCAAACGGCCATCCATACTACATTACACCAAAAAGAAAAGACGGCCTTGGAAAGGCCTTGCAACAAACTGTTGCGTGCCATTCCACGCGTCCGCAGAAGGCAGAGGTTTGGCAGACCCGGATGTGGTGCCGCAGCAGCTGTAAGAAACTTACACAACATGCTCTTGCAGACTCTTGCATTGCGGACTTTTGTGCATTTACTGTTAGAGAAAGTTCCGGTGCCAAACAAGTTCACACTTTGCCGCCTTGCTGCCTGCTCTTCTAATTTTGGGGGAAGACTGACACAAGACTTAGACTGGAACCGACTGAGAGGCTTATTTGTTTTACTCGCAACGAGGAGCTGTGAAAGCCAGATCTGGCTTCCCGTGTGTGAAAACAACGCCGCAACTGGGCCCAAAAATGGCTCCTAAACTTGGGTTCCAATTTGAGGCTCCAACCTG